TACAAGTAAAAGTATTGCAGTAAGTCCAAACTAAATAAATTTCCAACTAAAGTCTTATTATTAGGGTCTCCCAAATAGCCATGCCCACTCCATACCATGTGACCCAAGGGGACATCTGACAGGCAGGGATGTAACTTCAATTGTGTGCAGGTAAAATGTCTTACTTTTGCAACAAAGAGAGATGACATTCATAAGACCCCTCCCAAATCAGGGCAAGGATCTTCTTTGGCTTCTACATCATGATCCTTACTGCCTGTGGCTCCCTAGTACCACCTTTCTGCCTAGGCCCCTTCCTCTCCTACCTCCCCTTTACAAACGTACTTTTTAGTGAGTCTCTACTGCTTTTTCATACTCCTCCCACAGTTCCTTGTCATAAATGCTTGTTGTTTTCATATTCGCCTTTACTTTTGGCCTTGATACGTCATGCTGAAAGTTTTGAGATACACAAAAATTAAGAAATGTAAAATTCACGCAGAAGAAAACAAATGAAGCCCTCCCAGCAGCTCTGATAACCTGGGCGGGGTAGAGCTTGCACGCGTGAATCAGAAAGGACGCTATTACTGTGCTTCCTAGAAGTGAAATAACACCATAGCCTGTCTGCAAACTTTGGTAGTGACCTACGTATTTGAACTCCCATTCCTACCCTCATAGCCAAGGCCACATCTCAGTAAGCCTCCCTGTTGTTAATGCCCTAAATCTTCTTTCCTTTTTGCATTCTCTCCTCCAATCCGGTCTAAGCAACTGAGAATTATACAATTCTCCCAAGCCTTAGTTTATCTTCAGCTCCAAAATGTTCGGGGGGCATTTTACTATGATAAGTGGAAGTTAGAACCTCAACCTTGGAGGGCATTGCTAACTCCACTCTATTTTCCTGTCCTCTATTCTTTTACTGCTATCTTAAACGAACTCTTTTCATCAAATTATTCTTTCAAAGGGTCCTTTTTTTTTTTTTTTGGTCTTGGCCCTTACTCTCCCTTTTGCTGGAACATTCTCCCTCTTCTCTCTACTTGTTGGAGTTCTACCGATTAACCTAGTCTCCTGTGACTGTTTCCCCCCATCCTCTTAGAGGTTTCATAGCCATTACCGGAGCATGGAGAGTCTGCATTTGGCACGTGTTATATACCATGTTCTACGGTTGTTCATTTAATACTTAAGTCAAATACGTATGTTGATGTGCATTTCTATAATATCGTTCCAAAAATATCCTAAGTAGATTCAGTTCAGTTGTGCCTAACAAGCACTTCACTTAGAAAGAGAAAATAAATTTAAGAGACACTGACTGCCTGTAGGACGTCAGGGGGAGAAGATAATACCAAAAATGGCTTCTTAATGGAAAGTGGACGAAGAGCCTTATGTAGCAAGTACATGTTAAAAGCTGTTAGGCTACCACTAGATGGCACACTTTTTAGAGTAAGGCCAGGGTCTCTAACCACAGTTTTTATACTTGCAGCACCTAGTTTCTGGAGGTACTGAGTTCTCAGTAGTCGGAGGTGCTTATGCAGAGGCTAAGAGCTCAAACACTGACTAGCAATCTGCATGGGAGTATGACGTACAAATGATCCCTCTAAAAATATGTGAGTTCCCACTTACAAGCTTCCGTGTCTTCACCTACTAAAGAAAAATCAATAACTAGTTGATAGTATTCTCACAAGATTAATAGACTGCATATTACAGTCTATACAAGATTAAGGAAATTAATATACAGTGACTAGAACCTGGTGGTATTCAAGTGTTTTAGTTTATTCTCTTTTAATTTATTATCCACTGGTGTGGCTGATAAGCTTCATATTTCGCTGTATGGGAGGTTTGTTGAAATCTACTTTTCAACTTTCCAAATCTCCTTCAATCCTGATGACGGATCTATACAATGTAAATGTACTCTTCATAGCAGAATGTCAATAAAAAGAAGCTTTAAAATACGTCAGGTTTTGGTTAGGATATGTAACAATTAAACTAAAATTCCCCCCTTTTTTATTTTTAGACACAGCTAACGCTAATGGTTTTAAACAGCCATCTCAATTACAGTAAGCTGTTTCTTGTCAGGCCAGCTGCAAAAAGTGAATGTGATTACCTAAATACATTCCATGTGCTCAGAAACTTAATGCTCAGGAGGGGAGAACGAAGACTGAAGAGTGAATTGACTCCTCGTACGATTGATAATAAAGGGAAGCTTTTCAGAGAAATTTTATCCAAAAGTGAAGAACTCCATTGAGATGTTTACCACCAACTCAGCATGGTGCTATTATTTTATTATCGAAACACTTCAACTTTTGTTTTTCTTACCCTGTACAAAGGAATCAATAGCCTAAAAATAGAGCAGAAAGTAGCGGCTCGTGGGTGTTAATCTGGGTTTGGTGCTGAGGAATTGAGAAAGTGCAGCCAGCAGCCTATAGTCGTGTATCAGGCATTTGTGTGCTGATTGATTGGCTTTAGGAAAAAAATTAATACATGAAATTTGATATAGAAGAGGTTTAAACAAACTATGATAGAAAATAGTTTTTCAAAACCAGTATCCATATACTTTTACCTATTACCAATGGTCTCTTCTCATGGATACATGTGGGGTATCAGTCGAGGTTATAATACTTTTCCCACTCCCCGTATTGTCCTTGGTGGTGGGTCCCTAATAACTATGCCTGCCTTGTGTGAACTTCTCTCCTCCCCTACCTGTGACATCCAGATATAATTTCAGATGACCTCCTCCCTATAGTCACAGGTCACTACTAGAGCTGGACGCCTGACAAGCCTGGCCAAATAGGATTCTTCTATCTGGGGATCTGGATCAAGACTGAGAGACAGCCAGTGTCTGTTGGTAACTAGAGCTGGACATGTTTCTGTAAGTCACATTCATCAGAGAGGCCAAAACATCTAATGTGTACATAGAAATGGAATGGAAACAGAAAAGCAGAGAAAGCAAAGATGAGATGGGGGAGAGGGTCTGAAGTTTCCTTTTTTGGTCCAGGTCTTTCTTAAGTTTACTGGTTCTCATGAACTTACATTCACACAATACCACCTTCATATCATTGTTTTTAAACTTCACTAAATTTGCTTATTTATATCATATATTTTCCTTTTCTGTCTCCTCCCACTAAATTCTAAGCTTCATGAAGGCAGACATTAGTCTGATTTACTCACAGATACATACATGTCCAGGACCTTCAGAACACACCTGATGTTAGATAGAGACTCAGTGAATAATTGAGTGAATGGAAGAAAAGGGCCCATATGCTTTAATAATTAAGTTACAATCTCACATCACAGGGCTTTAATATTTTCTTTTACCTTTTCTAAGAAACACCCCTATCCTATATGTACCTATTCAGAATGAAGCCCTTTCACTGGCGTTTCCTTACTTTATACCCTTGTTTTTATTGCTTCATATTCTGTGATTTGTTCACTATAAACTGAAAGCACAGGAAAGGCTACAGTTCTGTTTTGCCAATCCTGTTCTCTGTTGTAGTCCCACGTGTATGGTGTAAATTCTTTGATTAGTAACATCGTGGACCACCATTATCTGAAAAATTTTTCTTTTCTTATTAACTTTTGAAAAAATAATCTGTTTAAGCTTTTCATTTGGAGGACAAGAATGCCATTGTGCTGAGGTACATAACGATTGTGGAGTTGAAAGTTTCCTCAGAGATAAACAGTGATTCTACCAATCCTAATGTGGCTGTTCAGGTCATTCACTGAACAAGTTCTTACTTGGCTTGTACTCTCCTCAGGAGATGGCAGAGCTGAGGCTCGTTCCTGTGTATTCTGACTTAAGGGCTTGTTTACAGGGGAGAGTAGGGTTTTTGCTTCTGGCTTTGCAACTTTAAGATTGTCTAAGGCTTTAAATATTGATACTTGATACATTACAGATCACTTTAAATGAACACACTTCATGCATTCCAATAGCAGTGATTTCTACAGTTCATTTTTCTTCACTCTTGCAGATATTAATGTTTCATATTTCAGCAGTAACAGTATTCTTAAAACCAAACCTACAGCAAGCATCTATACATTCTTAGTGATACCTATATATTATGTTTACTTATTTTAGGATTCAATTTTGATTGGCTATTTAACTGCTCCATAAAACAGTTATATGTTTTAAGTGCCCAGCATGTAATAGTGGCTGTATTTGAAGAGTTTATATTTAATAATATAAATTCACCAAAGATATTAAAGGGGACAGCATGAGGCGGTTGAATAAAACCAACACCTGGATCAGGGGACAGGTGTGCTGGAGAGACTAAAGGCAAAACGAATGTTTCATGGGACAGTGCTCCGGCTTGCAAGGATTGAACTTAACATATACAGCAGACTCCCTGTAGTCACACGAGTGAATAGTAAACTCTCTTTTTACAAGTTCACAATCTATAGGAGAAATGGCTCAAGGACCATAGTGTAAGAAGTAGAGAACTAAAAAGTTGAACTAACAGTCAAAAGACATTGGGATATATAAGATGACCTAAAGATAGAACATGTGGAGTGGGAGGGCATCCTCAGAAACCCTGCATTCCCGCTGTTCATTCTACCTATTTTCTGAGTTCTTTATGTCAGTCCATATCTTTACCATAGTGAAAGAAAGAGGATTTGCAAATGAAAGAACACCCACATTATTACCAAACTGTACAATAAAATCACATTCTATTTCTCAAACACTCTGTTTTATGCCTCTGAAGGGTTTTCTGAATACATGCATGTATGCTGATGTTATAATTATACCTGTTTCTCATCAGAAATCGGATCAAGCCTTCTAAAGATAAGGACACCTCAAGATCCTTTGATTCTTAGCATCCAAGCTATTTTCAATAACAGTGATGACAGCTATGAAATAAAAGCTTTTCTCAAAATGCTCTTGTTTAAATGCCCTGCTTAAATTCCATTGTAAGTGATGTTTGTTTTCTGCCCCAAACGTTACCTGCTATATTCGTGGTATATGAGTGTTTTTGATGCCTAAATTGTTCATCAGTCAATTCAACTCTTCCTCAAACTTACTTCTTGAGAGTACTTACATATTCTTCATAAGCTTCGTGGGCTGGAGGAGGGGGTGCCCTGTATCCTGGCACCGTTGGTGCCCCCCGGGCTCGAGGGGTAGGGACACCTCTTGCTACGGGGGGCACTGGAAGAGCTCCACGGGTCACAGTGGTTCCTCGAGGGGTGAGAACACCTCGTCCAGGTGGTGGGGGAGGAGGAATGGCACCTCCACGGCCCCTGGGAAAAACAGGTCAGGCACAGATTAGACACAAGGGATGGGCTAAAGTGGACTAGAACAGAATAGACCTCACGTCTCAGACAATGGAAAAAATACACATCTCTTTCTCTCCCCTCCCAATAGAGATTACTTAATATATACACTTGATCTTAGCCAAAAGGCCAAGAAGCAATGGAGATTACTTAATATGTAAAGTGCTTTGAACTCTACAGCAGAAAACCTTTGCCAGTACTATAACTTACTTCTTGTGGAAATCACGCATGTCATGAATGTCACTGTGACACTGTGTTTTATTTAACTAAAAAACTAAAGCAGAAAACAGAAAAAACCCAAACCTGCCCTAATTATATTCCCAATTTGCCAAGACGACCCAAATTGGAGCCCCATCTGTACACAGTGGACCAGCTCTGCCACTGAGCCATTATCTGGCTACATCTCCTCCAACTGGGGGTTATGGCAGGGATGTGGAGTATTATGACTTATAAGAAAGAAAAAATACATCTGTCTGCACTTTAATAAAATGTGGAACTCTGGCCATGGTGATATCATTCTGTTTATTATAGCAGCTTAAGTTTGGGGTCACTTAAAAGACCAACTCATTATCACGGATTCATTATCACACATGGACCCCTCTGAGCTGGTGACGTCCCTGACACAGTACATTTTATTATGGTAATTACGATGCTGGTGGGATACGTAGTGCATTAGTCCTCTGCGATAAAAAGAACAGACTGAAATACTCTGCAGTTCTTCACACAAAGGTAACTTGCATTAAAAGCGTAATATCAAACAGTTGCAGCCAACTTTTATGGTATTTGGAGGCCTTTAGAAAGGTTGAATGTTTGTCTGAAATCTTTGGGCAAAAGCACGGTCATTTCACTTTTTATTATGTCTGAAAGGTTGGCCTCCAGAAAGCACTGCTTTCAGCAAGAACACTAAAGCTTTGGGAAAAAATGATGATCATTGGCATGTCAACAATCACGCTGTCGGGCCGTCCCCACATCTGGGGATGCAGGTTGTGCCTTCTGCTATGAATAGCAGTTGGCTGGCTTGCTCTTTCTTGCTTACAAAAAATGAGCTTTTATGAGTGAAGAGTAAGAATGCTGGTAAAGCTTTTAAAATTTTTAGATAGATTATCGAGCTGATGAATAGAGAAGCTGTCAGAGAACTTACTGTGAGTCTAATGTATATGGAACACGCTCAGAGACTGGGAGAAGGTGAAATACAAAAGACCCACAGGCCCAGTGCAGCTTCAAGTACAACACAGCTAAAAATACAAGCTTCTCCATTATCATGCTAATATAAAAAGGCATCTATCAAAAAGGATGTACCAGTAAAAACCCATTTGCCTTCACGAGGCCTCCAAGCACCTGTCTGTTTCATCATCAGCAAAACGAGGCACCTCCAGGTTTCCCAGGTGTGTCCCTAGCTTCCCGTTCCCATCAGCACTCTACCACTCTCAGAAGTGTCCATGTGTGGGTGATAAATTACATGGTCACCCGGCTCTAAATTATATTCGTAGGTCTTAGATATACCACTAAATAATCATGGATAAGTACTATGACTACCTAAACCTAAGGTGTATTTTTCCCCTAGTGCGTTAAATGCAGACTTCTCAATCTGTATCAATTATTCCTGTCCTTAAATTATATGATGCTTGCATCAAACCTAATTTCTCTCCATTCCTTCATCAATGGACTATCAGACACATCCCTAGCAAAGCTATCCCCTGAACCTGACTCATTAACACCTACAAGGTCTGACAATTAAGTTCAAGAATTCATCCTAGGAGAAGTGCTACATAGCTTATTGCTGAATACGACTTGGGTCACGCTGGAAGTGCTCCCCTTGGGAAGCCATGCACTGATGCCAGTGCCTAGTCCACCATTCCAAGCCCTTTTTCTAGGATAAGTTTGTGAGCTTAATTGTCTGACCTCATCTACACTACGTTCCTTCCTTGGATTAGTAACCTTGTTTCTCTCTCCTCCAATTCAAGTTGAGATTCGTGTACCCTATTTTAGGATACTGCCCCTGGCTAAATCCACACCCCAGTAGTCTTTTCTCTATTCTTCTGGCTTCTTGAAGGATCGTTTTCCATGTTTAATTCTTTTCTTTCTTCCTGTACATTCCTGAACTGAATGTTGTCAATCGAGTGTAGGGGTCCTCGAACTTTTTAAACAGGGGGCCAGTTCACTGTCCCTCAGACCATTGGAGGGCTGGACTGTGGGCCCCAGGATGAGTCAGCTGCTAAGTAGGACAGGCAGCGGCAGCAAAAACACCTTATGGGCTGGATAAATGTCCTTTGCAGGCCACATGTGGCCCACGGGCTGTAGTTTGAGGACACCTGATCTAGTGGCTCTTACTTTCACTGCTCTGTTGAAAACACTCTTGGCTGAGATCACCGGGAGTCCACCCATGTCCTAATCCACTGGAATCTTTTACAGCTCCATGGGAGTGCACCTCCCCTCTTATATTTGAGAGCGTGGATTAATATCTGGAAAATGTTTCTCTGGACTTTTATGACCCTGCTTTTCTCCACTTCTCCTCTTTTTTATTTCTTACTCCTCAGCCTCTTACACTGGCTTCTGTTCCTGAACTCATTTTGGAATGTTGGTGTCCCCCCTTTCTGCCCTGGATCTTCTTTCTTCCTCTCATGGTGGCACCCTACAGTCTCTAACTCTAATATTGGACATTTGTTTCCTTCCTACCATAATGTTATATCCTGGTTTGTGTTCCTTATGCCAGAAATTCCCTAATTTCCCTGCATATTATTTACTTGATGATCTTTTAAAAATTACACAATCTAGCCCATATCCCAAACCACAGTCTCTGCAGGCAGACGGCCCTAGTGATTCCATTGTACTGGCTAATTTGGCAACCACTGCTTTGTACTCGTATTCCCCTCCTTATGTAAGCATCTTGGCAAGCCTGTCATGTGGGCTGCTCTAAGCTATTCTCTAAGTTCAGAAACCAAGGCACAAGAGAGTACAAGTCAACTGTTCAAAGTCACACTGGCAATCCACAGAGATAGGATTAATTACAGGAATAATCATATTCATAATTTAACTTAATCTTTCACCTAATGTGGGTTGATAATATCATCAGTCTCTTATGAGGGTGGGCACTAGAGACTTATCTTTATCTTGGGCTATGCTTCTCCAAAATTTAAATTAGCATTAATTCCTAAATACTTTAAATTCTCATTTGGCCTTATCTGTCTACACTCCTGTGTTGCTCAGTTCTGTCTGTCTTGGATAGTAGACTTGTCTCCTCGGCTCTCCTGCCGTCAGTCAGTCTCCCTCTCTAGCTCTTTCTCTTTCTCCATCTCTCTCTCAACCACTCCACCTGTTCTGCATCAGCCACAGGGACGGCAGCATATTCCTCCTTAGAAACAAATATGAGGACTTGACTCTTAACAAACTTCACTTGTTCTAATTATTAGTTTTCCTGGCAGTAAACAAAACCCTTCAACACGTGCCTGCAGTGTTTCATTTTCCACTGCTTGCTCTCACGGCAGGAGCAGGGGTGATATAGGTCAGAGATGTCATTTGTTTTCATTTTTCAATTATGTAAAATACATTATTATTACAACAGATACCGTGCTTTGTTCTCTGCTGTGCATTATAATTGGAAGATTAGATAGTTATAGGTATGTTTATTGAAATGTAAATTATTTTAATTAAATACATTTCAACAAATTATTATAGAATTTCAAAATATGCTAGGCACCATCTTTTTGGATATAAGTGTAAATGAGTAACTTAATAAGCTAATACTTTCATAATTATGTAGAAATTAGCATCTATTAAGTCATGTTTTCCAAAGTTTTCTTATCAAAATGATTTTGTTTTATGAAGCTCTTGCCTTATTCATTTTTAATTACAGATACATTTCATCCTGTTGTTTGAAAAAGATGATAACAAGTTCTGTTCCGTTTACTTTCATTAATGTTAGTAACAATAATGATATCCGTATAGCATTGGAAGTAAAATTTAATTTCCAATTGAAATTATTTCAATTATTTTTTTCTTTCATGTAGTACCACATCTTAACCTATAGGATATGAAATAGCAAAAAGTTCCCATAAAATTCTTCTTCTAAGAAGATATTTAAAAATCTAGACCATTTAAGGAATCAGCATTATTCTTTATTCAAGTATTAAACAGATTAAAATTTTCAAATAAGGGCATGTTGACATTAAAATCTTATATGGACCCTTCAAATATGGCAAATGCAATATTCTATTAAGAAACATTAATAACACAACGTAATCTATTCATGTAGTGATTTATAACATCAAATACAGATGTATGTGTTATTTTTTTCTAAATGATCCCAATTTCGAAGAATAAAGAGTAGAAAGTTTACGTGCTTTCATTGGGCATCCTAAATGTACGCTTAGGTTCAACCATGTAAAATTGCTAAAGTTAGCATTTTTTGAACTACACAAGTGGCAATTTCATGTGTTTTAACCCATCTGATTAAATCCCGTAAAGATGACTTGCAATGATACAGTTGCAAAATCCATCAACATGAGGCTACAAATGTCCAAAAGACGGATGCTGTTTAAAAATGACAGCATTGCATTATGTCACACTAATTCTTAGCAATCAGTGAGTGATCTGAATATTACAGAGCTCCACTTTTCATTTTTTAAAGAGAATGTAATTATAATCTCTGGATTGAACATATTCAGAAATTTTGCTTTTAGCTCAATCTAATTTCCAGAATTACCACCTTTGACCTACAATAAGTTATTTCCTTGATATTTTATTTGGAAAGTTATCATTCTTCACTTTTTTCCTACCAAGTGTGAAAATTTTTGAGATATTTATGATTTAAATGTCAAAACCAGCGGTTATGTTGACAGTGGTGGTTGAAATATTTGGAATATAATTTAAGAAACAAATTGAATCTGCAAAATATCTTAGCATCTCTTAAAATAATTTCTTTGTGATATATGAAATGATATTCTCGATCCATGTTCTTTAGAGATTTAAAGGCCACTATAACAGGGTGAAGAGAATGATTGAATCCCACAGTCATCATGTGAAGGCTATGAATATTTCTTACTTTACCTTTTTGGAAAAAAATACTTTCTGTTAAGGTTTCTGTTGAAAGCTTAACAAATTCAGTATTCAAAACAAAACAAATTTTAATACAGAAAGATTCCACTTTCTTTGCAAAGTGAATAAAACTAAATAAAGACCTCTCTGATTGTCAAGGGCAGGACATTGCTAAGTGAAATGTATCTGAATTTTAAACACCCTCACTATTGGCTACGCAAGCAGTGTCCTTCTGACTTTGGGGCTGATGGTCTATGTATCATCTACATTCATCTCTGAGTCTCTCTCTCTCTTCCTACTTCCTTGCCTGGCAAACTATGTCAATTCATGGACCATTTAAGGCACAAACTTTGTAGTTTTCTCTTCACACAAGGTTATCAGGGTTCAAAGAGGCAAATGATTGTATCATTCGTGCTCCCCAATCCTGGGGAAAGAGCAAGAAAGTAAAAAAAATCCCTGCCTTACTTTCTAAATCTAATGTCCAGAATTGACACCCTTATTTTTCAAGACTGGTTATTAAAACAATTCATAGTTCATAGTATAAATAATGAGTTCTGGAATCAGACTGCCCATGTGTCCTTAGGTAAATTACATATGCCTATCTGTACATCATTTTCTCTCCTGTAAATAGTAGCTATCTCCTAGTATGGAGGATTTGATGAGCTAATCTATGTAAAGCTCTCATGTGCCGCATAAGAATTCACTATTATTGTTTTTGTTGTGGTGATGGTGATGTTGCTGATGTTGTTTATTCCTAGCTGTGATCTTAATGACACAGGCCTGCCATTTTCTTTAACTGTTGATTTATTTACAGTAGGAAGAAGTGTACCTTGAAGGTGTTGTGGGAGCTATTCTGATCCCTCTGCCTCTAATACCTCTGCCACGACCAGAGTCCTCTGAGCCGTTTAAATAAGATAATTCACGTAGTTGTTCCTGACGAATTTCATCATTGTAGTCCTAGAAGAAAAAAACATGATTTGATGAGTTAAAATGACATGTCCGTTCTTAGAGCTGAATAAAAACCACAGTGCTATATAGAAAAATATATATTTTCATTTGTTTTCTGGAGCCTTGTATATAAAAATCTAAAAGGATTTTAAAAGTATATATGCCTTAAATTCCTGTTATTACATACAGAAATTAAAGTTTCTTGTTTTATAAAGGAAGTTCTCAGCAGGAAATCAGATTTTATTTGCTGTGATATTGCTAGCAAAAGGAAAATCGCAATAGAGAACAAGAATTTGGAGTGTGCCAGGGGTCATTACTGTTAACAGGGGAATTACTAAAAAACAACTTTACTTGGATGAATGTGTATAGATTATGAATGAAAACACGATATTCAGATCCCTCCCCATGCAGCCATAAAAGGGCAATCCCAGGCCCAGCATATACTATACATAGTGAGCATGGATTAAAACCAGTAAGAACTACAATTGTGGGTCCGCTGCAGATGACTGGGACATTGTGAAATCCCACCAGACAATCTGATGTGCATCACTGAAACACAAGGATTTTCTTTTTTTTTTTTTTTGGCCGGGGCTAGGTTTGAACCCACCACCTTCGGCATATGGGACTGGTGCCCTAACCTTTTGAGCCACAGGCGCCGCCCAAACACAAGGATTGTCTATGTGTTCAAGCAGTGGGCAATGTAAAGTGGGAGCCCCAGGAGAAACCACGTTTCATAACAACCAGACACTAACTCAAAGTCAAGGGGACTCTGTTTATCCTTCAACCATGTGGAAATGTATCATTTCACTAGGACGCAAAAATGGATCTGAATCATAAAAGATGAATAACACCTGCAGAAACCAAGTGCCAACTGCGTGTCTTACCTGTTCCTCCTTACCAACACGTGCGTGCATGTGCACACGCACAGAGTTTAAAAATACAAAATTGAATAGCTGCTAATTTGCATGAAATGAACAATCTAATTACTATTTTTCTCTAAACATATGTTTAAGTGAAATCAACCTAGCAGATTTTCGAGTGGTGGAGAGGGGTCTAGGAATTAAGATTAGAAATATCTGTAGAGGGCAGGTCAACAGACGATGTTTGCGGCTGAGCTGTGGGACCAAAAATCAAGGATCATTATCATCTGCACCAAGTGGTGCCCAACGTAGCTTTGTATAGATGTGGTGTATGAATTTAAAATGAAGACTAAGACGATGACCAGTCCCCCCATGCATCTGTGCCTAGAGAACAGCAGGGATGCAGCCAGCCTACAAGGATTTCTAACGCCCAGCCTTACTCTGCAAGCTTTAGAAACAGGCTAGATTACAAGCAAAAGGGCTCCTCACTCCAAAGCATTTATTTTATTTTTTATTTTTAGCGTGTTGTATTCATGTTTATCATCTTCAGTAACTGATTATAGTGATAATAGACTCAACGCAGTTAGCTGACAGAAAAGCCACATGGTAGAAAATTATAGTTTCCGACAACTCATATATTATTCAATTTCTACCCCCTAATTTTCACATGCAAGCAACAACTAAATTTAAGAATAAACATGTCTATTATCTTATTAGAATCAGAGAATATAATGAATTGCCACGACTGAGTAAACTGACCAGGTGCCGTCGAAATGAATCATTAATCCCGTCATTGTCTTGTATAATATCACCAGTTTTAGGGGAGATTCTGTAGCTTCTTCTCTGAGAAAAACTTACACACATTAGGGGTCCTTGTGAATTATAGAAAAAGGTGGATGGATTCTGATTCTTGGCAACACTGATGGCTGACATAAAAATTAACAAACTGCAGATGAATTCGACATACGCAAAAATGGACCTTAGAGCCTAAATGTTTTTAAAAGCCAAATCAGAGAGTGTAAGGACGGAGATGTGGTTGCACTAATTGTATAATCATGAGCTTAGAGGAGGGAAGAGGAGAAAATGAAGGGGGGGGGTGGGGATGAGTAGGACACGGAGGAAGACTGGGGGGAAGAGGAAGGAGGAACAGACTAATCAGACCGTGTGGTAGAATGATCCATTCAAGGGCTTCCTGCATCCATATACCCTTAGATAGTTGTGACCACACTGACTCTGGGTCGGCCTTGTGATTTGCCTTAACTAGGACAATAAAGGAAAGGTGACAAAAGCAGAGACTTGAGGAGTGCTTGCAGATTGCACTGTCCTTCCTGTCGCTGGAAACCCTTATGCTGTCAGGTGAAGATGCCCAAGCCAGCTTTCTGGGATGGGATGCCATGTGGGCAGACACTGTCATCCCTGCCTTCCCTGCTATCCCATCCAAGTCATCGGACATGTGAGTGGGGCCATCCTAGGCCACCCAGTCTCAGTCAAACTGGTGAAGACCAAAATCAACCTGGCTAAGCCTAGAAGCAGGAGAAGTAAGATAATAAACTGGTGCTTCACACCACTAAATATTATCCTGGTTTGTTCTGTGCCAAAGCTAACAAATGCAATGGGGACCAGCAACATGGAACACAGAGATTATTTCAGAAGTGTATTTCAGCAACCTCTCTCCGGCTCACTGTCTGCTTCTCAGGGCAGGTATAGCCTTAGCTGAAGGTGAGCATATCTGAATATCACAGTCTGGTGTCATTGCAGTTTGAATTATCCATTTAAATTTCTCTGTTCAGAGTCCATTGCTCACCAATTCAACTGCACTGGAATTCAGCTTCCAGATAGAAATCTGCTAACATGGAAAGAATTTGCTGATCTTATTAACATGAATATTTGACACTGTAGATTAAAGTAATTCTGAGTATAAGCAAAATAACTTCTATTAATATAATACCAAGTTTTTTCTATGAGCTTAGCTAGAGAACTCTGCTTTAAGAAATAACTCATTGTCCAGAATTGTGGTGGCCAAGATAATACAGATGAGTTACCACAGGTATAATTGGCCGAGAACCCCACTCTCTATGCTCTGAAATCCTGTTGTCCCAAAGGCAAACTCTACCTAAGAGTTTCACCCAGCTAGTGACCAAATGTTGTTAGATGCTAAAATAGATCCATTCCTGGAGGTAAACAATATCTCTAACTTGGCTCAAGGTTTAAGAGTGTTGCTGAGCTGCTCGTACAGTTTCATTTTACCAGGGCAAGGTTCCTACCTCTTGAGGTCAGATATTGTAGGATGAGGGTTCTCCAGCCTTCCTTGGCGTCCTTTTATTTTTTATCTTTTTGTCACAGGAGTATCTCCCTAACATAATTCTTAAATATTTAATCACATTTTGGCTTCTGCTTATTGGAAGACTCAAACGAACATACCAAGTGCTGACAAAATCAAGATCGCAAAACTGAGGGCTTTGGTGAATCCATTTAGGTTAATGACGGTTGAGTTTATTCTTGTCAACATACCTTATATTACATCTGATAAAGGGTCATCTTAATGATTCACATCTGGGTTGAGGGACTAAATCTAAGCGTCCTCTGAACATACTGAAGTGTGAAGATGGCAAAACAGCACTATGATATACCATGGATGGAAATTTTCTAATCATAACGTTAATGCAAATTTATATCACTGCTGATAATTAGTTGATTCATTAGTTGCAATATTTGCATCATTAAATGTTAAAGGATCAAGATTTTTTAATACATTCAGGTTTTCCTGATTAGAGAACCAAAATATACAAGCCACTTGACTTACAGCTATGAGGCACACATATAAGTGTTTCAAATAAATGCAGAAGAAAAAAAATTTACATGTCTCAATGTAGGAATAGTTGAAACCCTAAATATTCGCTAGACTGAGTATATCCCATGCATTATTTTTATAATATATATAACTTTCTAAACCTGAAGGTCTATGATTTTATATTTTACTGCTTATTTCCAATCCATTATTAACCATGGATGTAACTTTGAACTAATCTTTCATACCTAGTAGATGAATCTAGCTAAAGCTATAACATCTCCTTGATTATTTAAATATTGAATGCATTGCTAATGCTTCTCTTATATATAATCTTAAAGATATGAGCAAATAAAATATTCCAAGTTTACCTTGGAAATATTATCAGAAATATATCCTATATTAGTTCACTGGAGTAGTATTAAGTTTTATGGATCTGAAGTTATTTAATAAATCATACACATGAGTGGATTATTATAGTTTTACAACATTAATAATTTTAACGTGCAATTCATTATACTAACATACACATTCATTGAAAAGTAAAATTATAAGCTGAGATGCAGGAAAGATGATATTTATTTATTTATTTATTTACTTTGGAGATAGGGCCTTGTTCTGTCACCTAGGTTGGAATGCAGTGGCATGACCATAGCTCCCTGAAGTCTTGAAATTCTGAGCTTACATGATCCTCTTGCCTCAGCCAGAGGCTAGGAGGATTATGAATTTCTACCACCATGCCTGGTGAAAATTTATATTTATGTGATATGGTTTGGTATTATTTTATTACTTTAATATTAAAACACCCTTGGGAAGTATAGAGAAAGTGATAGACAGATATTTATTTATGTGAATAAGTGCAAAAGGACAAAGAAAGGTAAAGCTATTGCAATTCAGGATTAAAAAAATGGAAAGATTAATTTTCAATCATTAAAAATAAATGTACCTTAAAAGACAAATTAATACATGTATTCAATTTGTTTAAAAATTAGAAAATCACAAAATAGAAAAGTAAGGGCTACCAATAATACGAAGACAATGGTCTTTTTGTAAAAAAAATTAAAATTAGACCTATGAATACATTTTAATATTATATTAGAGAGGATTTCAAATTAGGGGGATTTCACATTTCAAATCGTAAAGCTATATACACTCAAGGATTCCAAGGAGTAATGGTGAACCTTTAAATAAATCAGTGGTTCTCAACTTTCCTAATGCTGCAGCCCTTTAACACAGGTCCTGTGGGTCCTGGCACACAGGTTGAGAGCCACTGCTTTAAATGAGGCTTAAGTAACATAGGCATATCATACATATTTTTAAAATTGAACCAAATATTATCTTTCTATAATGTCCAAAATGTT